CCCAATTTCTCTGGGGAAATTTTAACTCTGGGCACTGTGTACAATTTTTAAGGAAAACAATCATAAAACAGATCCCTTATATTCATAAGAAAAGATTACGTCAATAAAAACAGCCCCGATAAAAACCCTCAAGATAACAGATGTTCCCCAAGTCCCTTAAAATGGCAGAACGAAAATCAGGGATTTTTTTCTTTTTTATCTTTTTCTTTTTCATTCCCCAAAAATGCTAAAAGTATGGGTTTGTGATACTTGCGCCCCAAACTCTTCAGTGATTCCAGATTATTCACGAGTGTTTCCCTTTTTTGCAAGACTAGGTTTGCAAAATTTTTCCCCGGTAGGCTATTTTGCTTGTTCAGAAAACAGTCCCGAACTGTTTCCATAAAGTCACTGGGGCTCTAGATTTTTCAAAGAATTTCAGCAATTTGACTAAAGTTTAAAAATCCCCCCACTAGACTAGTTATGTGAGAAGCCCCAACAATTTTGTCCCCAAAAAGTCTCCCTCTTCGTGATCAAAACCTGGGGGTGGTATATTACACCCAGATTAGTTTTTCTTTACCCCCCAGAAAATCTACCCAAAAACTTGTTACTGTCCATCTATTTTTTTTACCCTTTTTTTTTTGCAACAATTTAAAATTTTTTTTGAACATACAATGCACCCTCCCCCCCCCCCATTAATTTTCCCCAAATTTAACACTTAAATCCCCGAAAATTACACTCGCAGTCATATCCCGATTTTTAAATCATACCCCGTTTAGTTAAGCAATGAAAACAAAGTTCCAGACATGCTACCAAAATAGTTTTATTAAATTTTTTTTTCTTGCACTTCGACTGTTAGCATAAAACACCATCATATGTTTTTTTCTTCTGCTCATTTTTCCTAGTCATCTTTGTTTTAACACAATTTATGAAATTATCATTACCCAGAGTTACTCCATGACAGTTACTATTAAGATTCTTAATATAGAGAGTTAAGTCAATATATCCATACTCATTATTTATCATTTCTAAACCCATACCTCTAACTAATCCTAGTTTTAAAGTCCTAACAACCCCCTCAACTGAGTTTAGCAAGAAAACCCACACCTGCCCTGATAAGTGAACCCCATCCCTGGCATACATGTCATTTCGCCATAGAAGTTGTCCCAGTTGTCAAGAATGGTACTGCATTATCCTTACAGTGTTTATCCAGCCAACATTAATACCAATTGCTCTGGACAACCATTCATTACCAACACCTCTTCTTGGCAAAATCCCACATATAACAGGGCGCCCCCCCTTCTTCCTAATTATGTCTAAGTGTCCTGAACTTTCTAACTAAATCCTCACTTCTTCTACGCTTGCCTACATCATTGCCTCCAGCACTGAGGCAAATAATAGGATTGATCCCATTACCGTTCATGATGTTGTCAAGCCGGCTAACAATGTCCTCCATCCCAGCCCAGGAAAGCATACCCTTTGTCTCCTACTCCTGTCCTATCAAGCAGAATGCCCTATCCATGTATCTAACCTGGCTATCCCCAACAACAACAATATTCTTACCTTCCTTGTTGTCGTTCGTCGTGACGATCCCAGTAGTCGACTCACATTCGTCGGGTAGCAAAACCGAGAATGAAATTGGAGGTTTCCCCCAGGGGTTTTTCCCCAGCAGTCTCTTTTTTTCTTTATCGTTTTTGGCTTTTCCCTTCCCTCTTCTTTATCGTCAACTTCGCGTCCCCTGCCCCAGCCACTGACCACGATCCCCTCTTGACCTAGGACTCGAAACAGGAGGGCTACTTTCGAATCCTCTTTTTTTTCCTCGGTCAAACCCCCCGTAAACTCCATCTTCGCTGCCCAATTTTTCCTTTTAATTCTGGGGGAAATTTCTCGATAAGGGCAAACTTGGTTCATTTCCAAAGGGACACACGAGACACTCTTTCACAGATTAAGTTTCAAACACCACTGATTTAATTAAAAGGGAAAAAAAAGAAATTAGATTAATCCGTTTCCCGAACCCCCCCAAAAAAACACTTTCAAAAGCACCTTTCATAGATACACTTTCGAATTTTTCGAGTTTTTTACTGTTTTGTATCCCGAGGGACACGTACATTATTTAGGGATGCTTCTGGCAGAAGCCCGTCGTAAGTCAAGTCTCATAAACATAAGTCCTAAATAGGGGAGGCCCGTACTTAAAATGTACCAAACATTAAACCCCGTCTTTAAACTTAAGTTGTGTTAACATTTAAAAAAATCCATCTGAAATTAAAACATACTAGGGCTTTTTTTTTGTTTTAACAAAGCACCTGGTTTTTTTTTACATTAAACTTTCATTTTGATAATGTTTGTTTTTTTGAATTAGTTTATGAAAGGGCATACTGGTACTTGATTACTGTAGACCTACCTGATAAATAACAGTTTATAGTAAAATTAAGGGTTTTTAAATTTTTAAAATAACAATAATTAAATGATTAAATTTTTTGGGAACACACTGGCCGGGCTCCCACCGAGGCAGGGTGAAACCCAAAAAAAAACACTTTTCCCCTATCATTTTTTAAATATTAAAATAAAATTTTGTAAAGTTGCTTTTTCAATGTTTTATAGTCCCTTTTACAAACCTGTGTGTTTTCTACAGTACTGTACTAGTAATTCCCTTTTTATCATTGTACAAATGATGAGTGTAGTGAAAAATATAAACAAAAACAAATCTTGGGTTTTTGGGCCTTGGGGAAACCCGGAAATTCCCGTTTCCCTCATTTTTTTGAGAAAGAATAATTTCCACTACTTTTAGTAATGATCCCAGGAAAAGGGCTAAAACCCCCCTCACTCTAGTGAATCCTACTTTCCTGACTAAGCCATTAAAAAGTAAAAATTTTTTTTTTTTTCCAACACGTCGGTCATCTCCCACCGAGGCAAGGTGTCCCAAAAAGAAAGAAAATCCCCAAAAAGAAAATACTTTCATCATCATTCAACACTTTCACCTCACTCATACATGATCACTGTCTTTGCAGAGGCACTCAGATACGACAGTTTAAAAGTCAACCTCCAAACTGCCAATATCCCAGACCCCTCCTTTAAAGTGCAGGCATTGTACTTCCCATTTCCAGGACTCAAGTCCAGCTAACCGGTTTCCCTGAATCCCTCCACAAAATATTACCCTGCTCACACTCCAACAGCTCGTCAGGTCCCAAAAACCATTCGTCTCTATTCACTCCTATCTAAGACGCTCACACATGCTTGCTGGAAGTCCAAGCCCCTCACCCACAAAACCTCCTTTACCCCCTCCCTCCAACCTTTTTGAGAACGACCCCTACCCTGCCTTCCTTACCCTACAGATTTATACACTCTTTGAGTCATTCTACTTTGAACCATTCTTTCTAAATGACCAAACTACCTCAACAACCCCTCTTTAGCTCTCTGACTAATACTTTTAGTAGCTCCACACCTCCTAATTTCCACACTCCAAATTCCCTGCATAATACTTACACCACACATTGCCTTTAGACAGAACATCTCCACTGCCTCCGGCCACCTCCTCACTGCAGCATTTGCAACCCAAGCTTCACACCCATATAAGAGTGTTGGTACCACTAGACTTTCACACATTCCCTTCTTTGCTTCCATAGATAATGTTTTTTGTCTCCACAGATACCTCAATGCATCGATGAATCACTTTTTTTCCATCAATTCTATGGTAACCTCATCCTTCATAAACCCATCCGCCGACAAGTCAACTCCTAAATATCTGAAAACATTCACTTCTTCCATGCTCCCTCTCTCCAATATGATATCCAATTTTTCTTTATCTACATTGTTTGATACCCTCATCACCTTACTCTTATCTATGTTCACTTTCAACTTTCTACCTTTACACACCCTCCCAAACTCATCCCCTAACCTTTGCAACTTTTCTTTAGAATCCCCATAAGCACAGTATCATCAGCAAAAAGTAACTGTATCAACTCGCATTTTGTATTTGATTCCCCATAATTTAATCCCACCCCTCTCCCCAGCACCCTAGCATTTACTTCTTTTGCAACCCCATCTACAAATATATTAAACAACCATGGTGACATTACACATCTCTGTCTAAGACCTACTTTTACTGGGAAATAATTCCCTCTCTCCTACACACCCTAACCTGATCTCACTATCCTCATAAAAACTCTTTACAGCATTTAGTAACTTACCACCTATTCCACATACATGCAACATCTGCCACATTGCTCCCCTATCCACTCTATCATATGCCTTTTCTAAATCCATAAATACAATGAAAACTTCCCTACCTTTATCTAAAACTTTGAAGATTTTGTACAGTTATGGGCTATATGATATGATGGTGATCTTTTGTGTGTGAGGTTACCCTATTGATCCTCAGTATTCCTTAAACAATTTGTTACTTTACAGTATTATGAAATTTTCATTTTACATGTTCCATATCAGTAAATTCACCATCCACAAACTTCTCATGAAGTGCATTCCTTATGGATGCTGAAGGAATACAGTACTAAGAAATAATAATTTACACATGCACTCATGTACACTATTCAGTTTCTTTTATGCTATTATGATTCTTGTGATGAGAGCTATATAGTAATTATTTCAGTTTTGTTCTTTCATTTGATGAGGTGTGAAAACTAATTCAAAATATGAATAAAGTATAATTTAGCACTTCACATAACTAATAATGCTCATTACTGGCTCTAAAATTTTAGGAAAATTATTAATTTTATTATAATGGAATTAATGTATATAGTGAGGTTCATCAAATGTAAATGTATGTCAGTGAAGGTACCATGATATATTTATTTTTAAATGTATGTACTTTTTATGTTTCTAGTTGGGCATAGATGCCTTTAGGTATGAATGTGGTTAATGACAACTTACACAAAACACAGAACAATCATGAATGTACTTTGAAGGTAAGTAGGGGATTAATTTTCTCTTATTTTATTAAATGACATTACCAGGACACTCAAAGTGAATAATTTAGTTGAACTTAATATTATCTGTCTCTATATTAGATACTGGAACAGCAAGAATTTAGAGATCTGGTTCTAGCAGATGCCCAGGAGGTTCAAGGCCGACAAGAGACCGACACTGTAGAGATTGTGGATGAACTGCGCTATCACATCTCATCAGCGGTACAGACAATATCTGGAATACATGAGGCTCGTACCAAATTGTCATCCTTAGAGGCTTTACTGGATGATCTTGGTATTGAGGCTTAGATGTGTTGTTGGTCAGATAGCAGAATCATAAACTCAATAATAATGTAATTAGTTATAGGAATTTTACAATATTTCTTGTATTTTGGCATTGGTCCATACTTGGGATACGATGATGTATAATCCATCATATGATGGGAATCTTATTATATTTCTTAAAGAAAGATAATTATTTTATGCAGTACTGGTACTTTCTCTAAGGCACTTTATGCAACAGTAGCATAAATATTTTGGCCAAAATCAGACTCTTCAAAGCTTGATGTGTGTAATCAAAGAATAGTTGATTTTATGTAACAAATAACAAATAGTTTTAATTTTAGATTATTCTGTACAGTATATAGAGTTTTGTTAGTTTATTCTCTCTTTTTACAGTGATATCCTTTAAAAAATTTGTATAAAGGACTGTGGTTACAAAGATTCATATATTTGTATCAGGTTATTAATTTTGTAAACTGTTTAGTTTAAATGTGCAATACTGTATCTGTTTTATGTAATTTCCCTGTGTGTGTCAGTCAGCATTATTATTAATATCTTTATTATGTACTGTACTGTATATTGATTTATTGGTTAACCAAGCCAAAATTACTGAGATAAAACATACAAGTCATATAACTACAAATCTCAAACATTATCAACATGCCATGTGAGCACAGTTTGATACCCCTGGCTGTGTATTATAGTATTAAGAAGCAAAGGAGCTCATTTGAAGAGAGCCTGTATTCAGAGCTCAGTGTGGTAAGATCTTGTAACTACTGTATACAATCCTAGAGCATCTGGTAAATCAAATTGTAATTTACAGATATTCCCACCGTGTCTAAAGTTTTTGAGTACTGGTGAGTAAAGTACTTCATATTTACTTAAGGTTATTTAATGTTTATAGTTGGTCATTAATTTTCTCGTATTATCGCATGAAATTTCCAAGTTTAAGAATATATAAAATAAAATTCTTAGCTTTGATATTTGCATCTTAGCAGTTTTTTTAAACTGATCATGCTTTACAATAAAAACATCCTAACCTTTCAGTGAAAGAGATACTAATAGTTACAAAGTCCTTTAGTCATACAATGTTTCACCCTTGAGTGGGATTTTTTCAGCACATAACAAATATGAGGTACAATAACGTAAGTAATCATCCATAGTGTATGAGTCAGGATTTAAGGTGTATCTTGTATTAGTTATGTGCTCGAAAAAGTTCACTTGTGGATGAAACCTTGTACCAATAAGGGACTTCACTGCTACCAGTATCCTTTTCACCACTTGTTGGTGTTATGCCTCCAGTTTGCATCATAACTTTACAAATTAATTATGACTTTTGAATAGTGAAAACACCTCAGTTGCTTTTTTGAGTAGCTAAGAAAATATAGTACTGTATTTAAGAATCTGGCTGTGCACTAGCATATACGGTATTTAGTGCAGTTTTATGTTAGTGATAAATGCCACAGTATACCCCAGTGATAGGAAGGTATTGATTTGAGCTTTGCATGTTCTAGTCCTACAGCTAGGCTGGTAATAACCAGCTTTGCTCTAGCCATGTTAGATAATACTTGCTACTACTTGTTGCTACATTAAAATGATAATATCAGAACTTTTCTTAATACTGTACACTGTAGTAGCTTACAGAGCAGGATGTTTGATCAGTGATTCACAGACTGTGATAGAAACCTGATATGTATACATTAAAGCATTATTCTTTAGTGGTTAATTATAGAAGGGATCCGACATATCTTCTTCTGGCTTAGATTAATCTTTAATTTTAACTTTGCCTTGTGCTTTAGTTCAGCAACTCAATCTTCCACTCCTTAAGTAGGGGTGACATTTTTAATGCCAAAGAATAGTAGTTGTACTGATGTATTGAGTAAAGCAATATAGATTTTGTTTTACTTATGTATATTACCATAGGGAAATTTTAAGCTGTTATTTCTAGAGCATTTTGAAACTGCACCTACGGATTAAAATAAAACTATTATTTGGTACATAAACCTGATCAGAAAACCTGTAGGAAGCTAAGTGTGAAACTTGGAAGAGCTGCTAGCAGATAGAGTGGGATATTTCCATTATTTCTGAATGCAGGAGTAGCCTTATTTAGCATATTTTTTTATTCCAAAATCGGTTCCAAGCTGGACTGGGAGTACGATTATTTCTCATCTGAAAGTGCTTTGAATGATGTATGCATTTACTTGACAAAGGAGGTTTTTAAGTTAGTCAGCCAGAGTAATATACGTATTTGAATACTTTTGTTAAAACCTAAGTTACCCAAACTCTGAGTAATGTGTGAGGAAAGATTTACCCTTGAATTGATTCATATTATTACTTTAAGATTTTAATACATTTTACTTAGGATTGTTAAAGCATTGCAGAATAGATAGCATGTTGTTGAGATACTGTTATGGGATATAGATGAATGAAGTTATAAGAAAGCATAATACTGGTTTATTTACAATTTGCCTTAACACATTTGTGACCTGAATTCATATTGCCTGCTTTAAAGTATACAATGAAACCTCTATAACCCTAGGGATTACCTTCATGGATGTTCGTCAATATGGGAAAGTGCTAAATCAAATTTTATTTGAGGAATGAAGGGATCTCTTTCAGTTTCTTGGAATAAAAGCAATTTTCCAGCATCAAGGCACCCATCTTGAAGGGTATTTTGAGGATCCAGGAATATGGAAGATTCACATAAATTTAACTCATTGTGGGTACATTTTAACTGTATGTTAATAATGGTTATGTATTGATGGCTGGATGACCATTATGGGTTTAGTATCTTCAAGGGAAAGGGGATCTTGATCTAAGGAATGGGAGCTACCCTCTCATCCCTTGGATCAAACTTGATTACTTTTCAGTTACCAAGTGCTGTATAACCTCTTATGGGTTTAGTGCTTCCTTATGAATGTAATACAGATATCTTTTTTCATCAAACCAGCCATATCCCACTGAGGCAAGGTGTCCTAAAAAAGAAAAATGAAAGTTTCTCTTTTTAACTTTAGTAATGTATACAGAAGGGGTTACTAGCCCCTTGCTCCCTGCATTTTAGTTGCCTCTTATGACACGCATGGCTTACAGAGGAAGAATTCTGTTCCACTTCTCCATGGAGAGCCATACTGATATTATACCTGTAAAAATCCCCTCAAGGGAGGTTCATTGATGCTGGTGAGGGGCTCTTGATCCAAGGAATTCATATCGACCTTCCTTGAAATGAAACTGATGGCCTAATATTCCCCCAGGTGCAGTATGGCTCCTATAATCTGAGTGCTGCCTGTATGATCTGAGTACTGCACTTATGATCTGAGTGCTGCCCCTATAATCTGAGTGCTGTCTCTATGACCTGAGTGCTGCTGGTATGATCTGAGTGCTGCCCTTATGATCTGAGTGCTCCCCCCTGGGTTTAGTGCTCCCCCATGATTATAATAATAATAATGAGTGCTCCCCTATGATCTGAGTGCTGTCCCTGTGACTAATAATAACAATAATTAATGATGAGGTAATGATGTTCTAATGGTGCTAGTGATGATGGTGATAGTGCTGGTGATTATAGTCCTAATGATGATGGTGCTGGTGATGATGGTGATAGTGCTGGTGATGATAGTGCTAGGTGCTACATCACGTAAATCTGCCATCACAGTACATGTACTCAATGTACTGCTAATGATATCGGCAAATACTTATCACTTCATAATTAAATCACCACTTTGAATAAAAAGAATGAAAAAATAAAAAAAATTTATGTTGAAAGTTAATATTATGAGAAGTATGGATAGTGTATATTGACTGAAGTATGTGACTGAGACTTGAAGGAAATCACTTGACGATATTGACAAGTGGTAATAGCCGGTGGAGAGGAGGCGGCAGGAGCTGCAACTTGACCCCTGTAGCTACACACAAAGAAGTACAAGGAGAAAAAGTGTAGCTGTTCAAATTATTATAATCAAAACTAAGCGCTAAACCCACCAGGGTGTAGCTACTCCAAGACTTTCTCACTGCCACCGGTGATTCATTAAGAATTGTGTAATAATGAAATGGAAAATTATCAGCATTGCATCTAAAATAATAGCGCTGTATGACCCTTATGGATTTAGTGCTTAGTTATGATTATAATAATAATCCATCCTGAATAATAATGAAAATTTGTGACATGAAGATTCCAACGTCAACCAACTGTGGGTAAATTATATAAAGACTAGGAATATGGTTACTGAGTATCAGCAGGCCTGTGAGTTTAGTGCCCCCCTTGATGATGATAATAATAATAATAATAATAATAATAATAATAATAATCATAATCAGCAGGCCTGCTGGACAGGTCCAGTAACTACCAGAAGGCTCTTCGTATTTAATGTATATGGATATTTAAAGCAATAAATATGCTGTTATGAGAACTTCACCAGTTAACTATGTTGCTACTCAACAGGTACAATATTACCTGCTGCTCGTACAATACTCCGTCACACCACTACTGTACAATATTACCTGCTGCTCGTACAATACTCCGTCACACCACTACTGTACAATATTACCTGCTGCTCGTACAATACTCCGTCACACCACTACTGTACAATATTACCTGCTGCTCGTACAATACTCCGTCACAAACCACTACTGTACAATATTACCTGCTGCTCGTACAATACCCTTCACACCACTACTGTACAATATTACCTGCTGCTCGACAATACTCCGTCACACCACTACTGTACAATATTACCTGCTGCTCGTACAATACTCCGTCACACCACTACTGTACAATATTACCTGCTGCTCGTACAATACTCCGTCACACCACTACTGTACAATATTACCTGCTGCTCGTACAATACTCCGTCACACCACTACTGTACAATATTACCTGCTGCTCGTACAATACTCCGTCACACCACTACTGTACAAATATTACCTGCTGCTCGTACAATACTCCGTCACACCACTACTGTACAATATTACCTGCTGCTCGTACAATACTCCGCCACACCACTACTGTACAATATTACCTGCTGCTCGTACAATACTCCGTCACACCACTACTGTACAATATTACCTGCTGCTCGTACAATACTCCGTCACACCACTACTGTACAATATTACCTGCTGCTCGTACAATACTCCGTCACACCACTACTGTACAATATTACCTGCTGCTCGTACAATACTCCGCCACATCACTACTGTACAATATTACCTGCTGCTCGTACAATACTCCGTCACACCACTACTGTACAATATTACCTGCTGCTCGTACAATACTCCGTCACACCACTACTGTACAATATTACCTGCTGCTCGTACAATACTCCGTCACACCACTACTGTACAATATTACCTGCTGCCGTACAATACTCCGTCACACCACTACTGTACAATATTACCTGCTGCTCGTACAATACTCCGCCACACCACTACTGTACAATATTACCTGCTGCTCGTACAATACTCCGTCACACCACTACTGTACAAATTACCTGCTGCTCGTACAATACTCCTCACACCACTACTGTACAATATTACCTGCTGCTCGTACAATACTCCTCACACCACTACTGTACAATATTACCTGCTGCTCGTACAATACTTCCCTCACACCACTACTGTACAATATTACCTGCTGCTCGTACAATACTCCGTCACACCACTACTGTACAATATTACCTGCTGCTCGTACAATACTCCGCCACACCACTACTGTACAATATTACCTGCTGCTCGTACAATACTCCGTCACACCACTACTGTACAATATACCTGCTGCTCGTACAATACTCCGTCACACCACTACTGTACAATATTACCTGCTGCTCGTAAAAATACTTCGTCACACCACTACTGTACAATATTACCTGCTGCTCATACAATACTCCGTCACACCACTACTGTACAATATTACCTGCTGCTCGTACAATACTCCGTCACACCACTACTGTACAATATTACCTGCTGCTCGTACAATACTCCGCCACACCACTACTGTACAATATTACCTGCTGCTCGTACAATACTCCGCCACACCACTACTGTACAATATTATCTGCTGCTCGTACAAGACTCCATCACACCACTACTGTACAATATTACCTGCTGCTCGTACAATACTCCATCACACCACTACTGTACAATATTACCTGCTGCTCGTACAATACTCCGCCACACCACTACTGTACAATAATTTCCTGCTGCTCGTACAATACTCCGCCACACCACTACTGTACAATATTACCTGCTGCTCGTACAATACTCCGCCACACCACTACTGTACAATATTACCTGCTGCTCGTACAATACTCCGCCACACCACTACTGTACAATATTACCTGCTGCTCGTACAATACTCCGCCACACCACTACTGTACAATATTACCTGCTGCTCATACAATACTCCGTCACACCACTACTGTACAATATTACCTGCTGCTCGTACAATACTCCGCCACACCACTACTGTACAATATTACCTGCTGCTCGTACAATACTCCGTCACACCACTACTGTACAATATTACCTGCTGCTCGTACAATACTCCGTCACACCACTACTGTACAATATTACCTGCTGCTCGTACAATACTCCGTCACACCACTACTGTTTTAATATTACCTGCTGCTCGTACAATACTCCGTCACACCACTACTGTACAATATTACCTGCTGCTCGTACAATACTCCGTCACACCACTACTGTACAATATTACCTGCTGCTCGTACAATACTCCGCCACACCACTATGTACAATATTACCTGCTGCTCATACAATACTCCGTCACACCACTACTGTACAATATTACCTGCTGCTCGTACAATACTCCGCCACACCACTACTGTACAATATTACCTGCTGCTCGTACAATACTCGGTCACACCACTACTGTACAATATTACCTGCTGCTCGTATAATACTCCGCCACACCACTACTGTACAATATTACCTGCTGCTTGTACAATACTCCGCCACACCACTACTGTACAATATTACCTGCTGCTCGTACAATACTCCGTCACACCACTACTGTACAATATTACCTGCTGCTCGTACAATACTCCGCCACACCACTACTGTACAATATTACCTGCTGCTCATACAATACTCCATCACACCACTACTGTACAATATTACCTGCTGCTCATACAATACTCCATCACACCACTACTGTACAATATTACCTGCTGCTCGTACAATACTCTGCCACACCACTACTGTACAATATTACCTACTGCTCATACAATACTCCGCCACACCACTACTGTACAATATTACCTGCTGCTCATACAATACTCCGTCACACCACTACTGTACAATATTACCTGCTGCTCGTACAATACTCCGTCACACCACTACTGTACAATATTACCTGCTGCTCATACAATACTCCGTCACACCACTACTATACAATATTACCTGCTGCTCATACAATACTCCGTCACACCACTACTGTACA